ACAGGTCGCAGGTGCTGATCACCAATGACCAGGAATAAAAGAATCAGCACAACATTACAAACACACGTTCACGGCTGAAGCGGCTGAGCTCGTTCAGCGGCAGGTCCTCGCTCACGCTCACGCTCACGCTCACGCTCTCGCTCACGCTCTCGCTCACGCTCTCGCTCACGCTCAGCTTGTTGATGATAATGTTTCTCGTGGGCAGTGATTCCAGCTCTGGGTCTTTCAGCAGCTCAGGTTGGAATGTTGGGAATGTAGTTTTCTGACCGCTGAGCTGAACGTGGGCTCCAGCTTTCATCGCTCCTCTGCGGAACTTAAAGGAACTTAAAGGAACTTAAAGGGACACACGTTGGCTGTGACCGTCTCCGGGCTGTGCTGGCGTCAGCGCCGCAGCTCCTCGTTTGTTTGTTATGTCTCGCGAAACCAACAATGTGGGGATTATGAATATTTTCTGAGACCTTGTCGCGCCACAACAACAACACAGACGGTTGAGCGGAGACGCGATTGCATCGGAGACGGTTTTCTAGGTGGCGTGGCCCATGCTGGCGTGTTCTGTGAAAACAAAGGGCATTGTGGGAGCTTCTCCTGACCTCGGTTTGAACTGGGTGTTGGTGATGTGACCTACGATGGCTGGTTATCTCCTGACGTGACTCAGACAGCAGAGGTGGCACCGGCTGCCCGGTGCCTTCATGCCGAGACCACCTTCCCCTCCGCCCCTATAAATCCAACACCTGTCCGCCATTTTGGTGCCTCTCGAGGCGGTTACGCTGCACCTGCGGTATCTCGACTCGGAGGCGGTTGGCTTTGTTCATCTGCTCCACGAGGCCGCTCTGCAGGCCGCATCAGTCAATACGTATCTCAGTGCGGGCGACATGCGCACGGTTGCATTCCAGTGGGGATTTGCAGAGTGGATCGGAGAAACTCATCTAAACCAGGGATTAAAACTCCGAGGCTGTTCAGATGCTCTGATAAACTTCTCTTCGCTGCGGTTTCTTGTTTCAGGGGAGCGGCCGTCAGGACGACTCACGGTAACAAACACACACACATTAGTCATTCACATTTTCATACTGAAAACCAACCAAACCTAAACTCATCTATGAACTCCTCAGTGAATCCTTGTCGGGGCGCCAACACTTGGCAACCCTTTGGGATAATTAAGACTGGTCACGCCCCCTCCTTGTTCGCCGCACCCTCTTATCCCCGTCCCCACGCTCCCTGGCAACTGTATCCGCTTCATCGCTGCTCTTCCACTTCTCCTGCCAATCACACTTACTCCACCATCTGCCTGGAATGGCGCTGATAGAAAAAAAGCCCTAAAGTGCTGGTGCGGGGCCAGAGCCGTCTGTGTGTACGCTGATTAATGGTTAATGGTGAATGTGGCGGAGCGACGGTGTGGAGTCCTCCTCTCTCTGGAGGCCGCGGCGACGCCTCTCCTCCTCAGACTCAGTTTGACCTCAGATGCACAGAACAATGTGAGGAATTCTCAGCGTGTCACCTCGGATCACGTCAGAGTGTCAGTGTGGGTCAGAGCATCAACTTCAACACCTTCATCCACATCAGTTATTTCTTGTTCTGCACAAATCTGACTTTAACGCCGCCGCCGCCGCCTGATGCATCTCTGAGCTGTGTGATCGGCGATATGGATCAATGATGATGGGATGGATCCAGTCTCAGAGAACTGACGCCTGCAGGTTTAAACGTGTTGTTGGAACGTGTTTCTGAAAGTGATTAACTAGAGGAAGAAATCATAGTTCTCACATATCAGCGTCTCTGCTTTAGCTACAAAAACCTTAAAAACTAGTTTCGTATTTAGCAAAGATTCACTCGCTGCTCGACCCGGGCTCCCCCTACAGGTGGGGAAGTGTAATTCACTGTCGCAGGAGTTGCGTTCTGAGCCTCCACGTGCACGCAGCGGAGAGGTTGGGACAGACTGATCACTTCCTCTGTGTGAGGAAAAATCTATGTAATCTATTACGTCATGTGGTCTCCGGTTGAAATTCCGTGAGCGTGCACCAGGCCTCACAGTCTGCTCATTTGTTTTCAAGCCAACTTCCTGTTTTCAAGCCAACTTCCTGTGGCAGACGAGGCATTCGGTCGGCCAAGAGAAAAAAAATAAAATTTTCGTTTGAATGAAAATTTAAAGCAGACCAAAAAAAAACCCGGGAGGAGGAGTTTAAACATCTCAGAGATCACGTAGGTTTCCGTGTGAATTAATGGACGTCTGGTCGCCTCATGAACTCTTTGTGTTTGTGAGTACGACACTCTTTCATGAAGTGTAGCTTGTGTTGGGGAAGCAGTAAAACCCGAAGCTGAAGAACTACGTGCGTGTTCTGAACATGAGCCGTCACTGATCGTCCATGTTGTGTTGAGCGTTCAGTGACGTCCAGACTGAAACGCAGCTCCGCAGTTTTCAAACCAGAACGAAGTCAGCAGCGTTTACAAACTTCTCAGTTTCTGAATTAAAGGTTCAGTGAGTAAGATTTAGGTGAAAGAGATTCTTGGCAGAAATAGAATATAAAATAATCCTCGTGATGTTTTCACTTGTGTGTTTCATCTAAATTGTATGAATTGTAGTTTTCTTTACCATAGAACTGGACCTTTATATTGAAATACTTTATATTTACATGGAGGGGGTTTACTGAAGGTTTCCATACTGAAGGTTCTGTTTCATGTTTGGAGGGAGAGCGTGAGATGAGGGGAGTCCAGCTGCAACGTGACACTTCACCTGTAGATGTCACTAAATTCTACACACTGAACCTTTAAGTTTCTAAATATTTCAGAAAAGTCGTCGGGGTTGGAGATAATTACTCAGCCCACCAACATGACCCGTCTCAGTTTACGCTGTAAAACACTGACTTTTCTGCTCTCTATTATTCGTCCTGTGTCACCTTAGCCCCGGTTAATCCAGCCCCCCCCCCCCCCCCCCCACGTCTTGTCTTCATGTCAGAGGTTTGCGTGACTGCCTCGCTCACCTTTCTGTGGATGAACTTTTCAACCCTTCAACCCTGCCCTCGTCCTCGGGGACCGGAGGCGGCGTCCCGAAGGGGCTTCACGTCTTCAATGTCAGCATGTGACCTTTTTTTTTTTTTTTGGGAAAGTCTGTTGTCTCACATACTCACCAACACGCCCACGCCGTCATGTCACCTCTTGCCCGGCTGCGAGTCCCGCGGCCATGTTGGCTGGATGCACCTCGAGGAGCGGGAGTCTGACGAGGCCACCGCCAGACGTGCTCTCTCCCACCGACGAGTCTGCACACAGGAGAAGCAGATGTTGAGGAGTTCAACCAGCTGCTGATTGAAAATATTCCAGACACGTGCACCGACACAGACCTGTCATCTGCGGACACTTTCATCCAAAACACGGCTGTGAACTGTAGCGGAATAAATTCAGTGGACGCCGACATTTTATCCCAGTTAAGTTTCACGGAGCTTCCCTCTGATAATAACGATAATACAACTACTCATCATGTTTTTCATTGTAGTGGTGAAGAATCAGCTTGTTTCAATGGTAACGAGTAGAACTACAAACCTGAAACTGCCGCTAACGTGCAGCTGAAACGACATCATGTGACCTCAGCTGTGATTGACGTGACTGAAGGATCTCTATTCTTTAAAAAGATTTTCGTGCAGGTTCAGATAATTTGTCGTTCGGTCGTCACATTGTTGTGACGGTGACTCGCTGGATTTAGTCAAACGCTCTCGTCGGAGTCTTTTCTCTCATTGTTTAAAAGATAACACGTCAAAATAAAGGAGGGGCCTGAGATATCACATGAAGCCACAAATATCCACATGTTAACGAAACGACTACGAGATGATCGTCCGACATTCGAGTGATTTCATCCTTTTATTTTTCTTTCAACATTTTATGGAAAAATAATGAATCGTTAAAAAAATTCAGGAACAAACTGAATCTGCAGCATTCGTCCAAAAATACCAGCGTCAGCGATGACACCTGATCATGGGTCAGACTGCGGTTACCTGACGTGTCACATGTCTCCGAGGAAGTCACATGGATCATGGCTGTGTGTGTGTGTGTGTGTGTGTGTGTGTGTGTGTGAGGACTGGCGCCGCTCTGTCCGCCCTACACCACGTCACCTCCTCAGGCTGCTCGCTCCTTTATGTCGCTTTTTATTTTGCCTTTTCTTCTCCGCAAGAAATGAGAGAGAGAGAGAGAGAGAGAGAGAGAGAGAGACAGAGAGAGAGACAGAGAGAGAGAGAGAGAGAGAGAGACAGACAGACAGAGAGAGAGACAGAGAGAGAGACAGAGAGAGACAGAGAGAGAGACAGAGAGAGAGAGAGAGAGGGGTAACTTAAAACGTGGAATTAGTTTGACACCAATTGGGGTTAGATGTCAGGAGGACAACATGTGTTAATGTGTTGTCATGTAAATTTTTCCACATGGTTTTTTGGGCATTGTTCAGTCAATGGATTCCACTGTAGTGTGTGTGTGTGTGTGTGTGTGTGTGTGTGTGTGTGTGTGTGAGAGTGTGTGTGTGTGTTGGTTGTCCACACTACTACGTTTACTTTACTCATCACCTGAAACACTTTCTCTCCAGACGAGTGTTTTTCTCTCCAGCTCCACACAACTCACCTGGAAACACACGTCACATGACCGCTCACCTACACTGGTCATGTGATGTGAACAGGAAGTAGATTGTCTCTGCAGTTGGTTGCTTAGTTACATAAAAATCCTCTGGTGGAGGAACTGATAAGAACCAAACAGGAAGAGACATACAGAGACGCACAAGTGAAATGAAATGGACTCAAATATCTCAGGATGTGAACAAAACCACGAGATCTCCAGAGGAGGATGAATTCTCCCAGCACCCCTCGCTTCAACGCTGAGTCTCTGGGTTGAACGGAGAATCTCCGGCTGCGTAGTTTACGAGACAAACATGTTCATCTGAAATCTTCTTCACAGTGAAGATGGAAAAAGCCGACGTCCTTTATGTTTCAGTTTCAAACGTCAAATCTCTCGTCAGCCACGGGAGAGAATCCGTCGAGTTCCACCGCCGATGCTCGACGGTGACAGAAACATCAGAGCGTCTCCACAAATCACCGAGTCCAGCTCGACACTCGCAGCTAAGATAAGAGTGTGCGTGTCGGCATCAGCACGACGCAACGCGCACTGTACATGTGCTCCGACCGCTCGACCAGAGGAAGAAATTAACCCTGTTTAAATGGAGGCCAGATGGATGGATGAAAAGAGGAGGAGAAGAAAGGCGGGCGGCCGGGGGAGGCGTGTATGATCTCACTGCTCATCCTAATGAATACATAAAGGCGTCTTTCGGAGCCCTCG